AATTAAAAGTATGTATATATATATGTATATATGTATATATATTTATAGAGTATATGTTCCCTAGACGGTAAGCAACTTTCAAGCTCATGTTCTTCGTGAAGGCATAGGCTAAGAACCATGCATGGAGAATCTACGGTGCAAACAAGAACAGAGGAACGAAGCGAAGAAAAGAACCACCTCTGCTCCTGTCGGCGGTGCCGTTGCGGCGCCAGCTATTGGAGTTGGGGTAGCTGTAGATCGGTTCTGTGGTGGAATCAATGAGCTTGATGTCGTTCTCGAGTTCTTCGTAATGGCGCTTCACTTCCTCCACCGACTTCCCGCCGACGGCCCTGGCCACATTCTGCCAGCGGTCGGGGGTGTCGTCGTAGCGTGCGATGGCTATCTCGAACCGCTTGTTCTCCTCTTCCGTCCAAGGCTGCTCCAACTTGCGGGAGGAGCTCTTTGAGCTGGACGCCATCTCTGCTGCTGTGATGGCGGCGAGGGACTCTTGACCAATACCCGTCAGTGAAGTCTTGAGTGCATGGGGTAGCAGTTGCCATGTCTGCTCCTTATAAACCGGTAAGGAAGTGGGGGTTGTGGGGTAGTGCTGGGCTATTGGAGGCTAGTTGGCGAATAGCATTTGCAAAAGGACCAAATGAAGGAGCCGGAGAGTGACGCCAAAGAACTTTAAGACGTGCGTATGTCGGGAAGTTGGAGAATGCCCTCAGAACTTTCGTCTTCTTACGATACTTGTGATCACTACCCTTAAACAGCTGATTTCATTTCACGTACTCGCTGTACTAAAAAGGGCTGAGTTCTGCGTTAAACAAATCAGCAATCTCGTCTTCTCGTCAAGTGATGCATGCAAGTGGGTTGTGAGCTATAACCTTAGCAGTTCGTGTCTTGGCCATTCATCATTATTGATGGTTCCCTAATAATTCGATCCAGATGGTGATACCATGCAGCACCATGTTACTTGGATCCAATGAGCTAAACCTGTGGATCGAACGAGCGGTGGCTCCACAGGGAAACATTAGCACACACAGGAAGGAGAAGAATATTGGAGTACACGAGCAGCCTACTTTATATCTAGAATGACAAACGAGGCCCAGACTTAAAGATGGCGAATATTTAAGTTCGTGCATGAGATAGATAGATAGATCTCCAGGAATAGTAGATCCTGCCTAAAGGGATCCACTCATGCTGAAGAATACTGGACGTTCATGTCTCAGACAGTGGTAGTTCCCTGTAGATGAATGGAAAGAACATATTGTCGTTATGCGAGACAAGCAACGTTATATTCCAGATTGACGCAACCGAAACAAACAAAAACAGGTTCTATATCCATATTCCAAACTGTAAAATCATGTAGCCACCCTCTAATGCTGACGACTTTGTGTGCCAGTTGAACCTCATCTATGATCACTCTCCCAGATTTGATTCCATATATACATATATATGGACATGGAACATGGGCTCTGTAATATGATGAAGAACCCTACGGCAGCAGGAAATGAGCAGCTGCGGCTTGTTGGAGAAGTTGTTTACATCAGGAGAATGATAAGAGCAAGAGAGGAGTCATCTTTACCTAAAGCTGCGGTCCATATACAACACGACTCAGCTTTCATGGAATCGTCGCAGGGAAAGATAGCAGCAAGTTGGTTGGGGCATGGAGAACCCTCACCTATTGGGAACCTGTTGAGTTGAGCTTCCTTTTGCCCACTTGATCTGCAAAAGAAATTCCATGACTGTGGCTAAATTTGCATGGAAGAGTTCCAAGGATGCATGAGTATTGTACCCTCAATCGACTGCTGAAACTCGACTACCAAGTCTGTCTTAACGTTCCCATCATTGGCAGCAGCTTTCCATTAACAATGAGAGACACAGTCGCCACTGGGTTCAAGTTGACAAGAGATGCTGTTTGCCAGTGGGCAAGGACAATAATTGCTACAAATTCGTTGTATTTATTCTTACTGTTCCTCCTCCTGATTGAGATATATTAATTACATCACTGTCAAATATATTTTAATCCTGCTGTTTGGTGAATTTGGACTCCTCTATCTTTGTTATGTTTATTATTGCTATTCCATGAATGAGTCAAAGTGGAAATTAAGCATCATTCTGATACGACAGCTTAAACTCTACTTATTTAGACATGTGGGACAGTTTCATAATATATCTCCATCGATATCTCACCAACACCCAAATCTGGAGTTTTTGTGATCTTAATATCATATGGTAATCATCTCAATTGTAGCTATAAAGATTAAATTCGATTTGAACAGGGGAACCAACATCATATATTAGTCTTCTTCCTTCCGAGAAGGTGTTTAGACGGCACTTATCTGCTTAATCATGTTATTTCTTCAGCTGCTCATATTCCATATCGCATATGGGGACTTATAAACTCTGTTTATATTCTTTTTGGGGAGTAATGACCATAAACTTACGACCTTCTTTTGATAAGGTTTTGTTTGTGATTAGAGCTGAAGTAGCAGAGAGTTGCAGTGGCTGCTAAAGAGAATTATATTGAGCTTAAGTTTAAGTACAGTAAACAAGGCATCTTTGCGTCTGCCTGCGATGTATGTACAACACAGATTCACAGGAAGAGAAACAGAAGTCTTTTGAGCTCAGTGATGTCTGATATTTCTGTCTGGTTCTTCTGGCTGATGATATACGGTAGACTGCTGCCTGTAATATTCCATGCATAGGTAATGAATTCTTTATACTTCACTCCGGTTGACACTTCAGCCTGCCAAAAAAGGGGAAGAATTTTTAGATGATACAGTTCGAATTTGCTTGATGATAGCTACCGAATTCCATTCTAGAGAACTAAGTTCATGAAGCTTTCACGAGCAGATTAGAGGTCTTATTGTCAAAAGGATAGCAACACTGGATGGGAGTGAAACGCGTTACTGAGATGCCAAAAGGCATCCTAAAGTTCGCTTGGAGAACGGCAGACAACAACCCATGATATCAACATTTCCTAAAAGTGAATGCAACCTTAGGAGAACGCAGGAGTAGGAAAGGGTAAGTGAGAAGGAAGAGTACCCCTGTTGCCGGCCGAGTGGTAATTGGCGCGAGGCATTTGTCCCGTCTCGATGCGAAGGAGGTCCTCCACGAGCAGCTGGTAGTGCCGCTTCACTTCCTGCTCGGACTTCCCGCCGACGGCGCGCGCCACCTTGTGCCAGCGGTCGGGCGTGTCCTTGTCGTACTCCACCAGGGCCATCTCGAACACCTTGTTCTGCTTCGGCGTCCAGGCGGAGCTCAACGAACAGGACGCCATCTCTAAACAGAACAATAGAAGTCGGCTCTAATGCTAATGGATCACTTGTCGCCTTCTGAAAACTGTGCTGCTGCTACGGAGAGGAAGTCGTCGTGGTCTGATCTTTATAAGCTGTGCTGCGGTGGGGTGTGCACAGTTGTGAATGATATTTCCATGGGGTAGGAAATCAAAGGCAGAACAGGCGATCACTGGATTGGGGAAGAGAATAAGGCAGTGATTTGATGGGTGGGAGAATCACACCGTTCTCGTAAAGCCATGGAGTTATTTACAAATCTTTATCTGAGCCTTCCTCCTCACAAATCTTCTTTTTCTTATCCCATGCCATATGCTGAAACATCTCAGTGGATATTCGTTCTTCTACCCGCAAGAACACATCGACTCCAGAGCACGTAAAGCTGCGAGCCAAAAGCATAAGAGAGAAACTTTGTTCGTGAGGGTAACAGATGTGACAACAATATCACCAGTCTGGTGATTCCTCCGTTTGCTTTAGAGCAAGTTGCGTCGGAGAACCTCAATCTTGGGGAATTAGGATGATGTTTGATGCTTTCCCTCTGCAAGTTGATCCATGTGTGATACTGTTACAGATTCAGCAGAGTAGCTCTGCAGGGTGCAGTAGAGCCAAAAGGGAGAGGAACTATCAGAGATTCCAAAGGCTTTCTGCCATTTGCAAAAGCATGAACCCACTTGGGACATCAAAATAAAGGAAACAAATCTGCTAGTCTCCTGTGACTCCGGAGTGGAGAGGTCAAGCCCACCATTCGTCGACTCTCACAGTCGCATCTTGTGACCGTAACAGGACTCCACTCCACCAGGATCTTAACCTCTACCCAACCCTGCATTGGTTCTTCAGTTCTTTACTGTGGAAGATTAAGATCCATGAAACCGACAGGTCCCCCCCATGCAGGAACCCATACTTCCAGAAAGTGGTCCGGGAGATACTGATTCCTGCTGATAATAAGAATAATATCACTATTTTCTATGATGCCCACCTCCAGAAAGTAATGACTGGATTCCTTCCCTTTCCACGATCACAGGTTGGTCGGCATGGATTTCAGCTATGGTGCTGCTTGGTTTGCAAGTTGACTGCTTCCATGGCAATCTTGGTATCGATCTCAGCGGAATACGTTCACATCACCAGATTCCAGGATTCACAGGCAGGGGAGAAAGCCAGCCAGGCGAAGCTGCTGCATCACCTCAGGAGGGTGGAAGATTAAGCGCGGGGATGATTAGTTTATGGAGCCACACGAAGCTCCGGCCGTGAAAGGAATTCCTGTTGTCTGCTGAAGTAGAATTCATCCTCAAGCCCCGCAAAGACCAGCGGTCGATCAGACGACCTTTTTGAGGGAATCTCGCGGGAAAGAGGCTTTCCCGGGGTCAAAGATATGCCGCTGCTCTCGAGCTTTACACCAGAGAGACTTAAAAGTTCTTCCATTACCAGGCTGTTCTTTGCTGACATGATCACATTTAACAGAAAAATCAAAAGAATAAACATATGAATAATCATTTTATTCCTGATAATGCATTTATTAACGTAAGATGATTAGCTTTTCATAATGCTTCCTTTTATATATTTTAGACAGTGAAAGAAAAGCTTTCCAGCTGTTTTACTTGAGATTTCCGGCTTGCAAATCTGTGGGTTTGCCAGTGGTTGCAATCCAATTTCACGAACGGATGTTATTGCAGCTTCAGCAGTAAAGAATGAAGAGACTCTGACAAATATTGGTAGTGCACGCTTTCACCGGTTCCGAATCATCACTCCGTCGTTCACGTGGCAGCCAACCTGATTTAGCACCGACGTGAAGAAGCCGCCTCCGTCGACTCTCGCATCCATCGATGGCGGAGAAAACGGCAGGATGACGTCCCTGAGCGTCACCATGCCCTCGAGTCGCCCAGCATCGCCGTCCAAAAAGCCGCTCTCCCTCATCGAAGCGGCCATGATCTCCATGGTTTTCTTGAGGCTGTCGGACTTCCGGAGTACTGCTGGGTTGCTCAACCGAAGAAACCTCGCGTTCTTCATCCTTAGAAGACCAGCTGGGGGAGCCTCCGTTTCTGTGTATCGATTTCTGCTCTGTTCACTCGCAGCATATCGAACCTTAATGAATTCTTCGACTGCAAACGTCCTGCAAGAGTCCTGAACTTTAATTACCAGCTTTCTTCTTCTGAGCAGTGAACAACTATTTTGTCTCAGGGGAGATCATCAACTTACTTCCTGCGGATGAACAAGGAATCGTCCTCCAAAAGGAGATAAATATCCGATCGCCTCACACATCCGAGCAGCGTTCCAGACCTTCGATCCACCACCAGCACTCCATCAAGTTGCTTATCCCACAGTACGTGCACGGCATCTGCTAAACTTTGATCCGAGAAGACCGAAACGACTCCAGCAGCATTCATCAACCTACGACAGCAACATTAAGTTAGTTCACGTCGCTTTGGTACATTGCTATGGTAGCATTGTGTTGACTACCGGTATTCTGAGAGGGATTTCTCTGCAATCTCATCAAACCATTCGAGTCCACTCGACTGAAGAAGCAACTGAATCACTGCATGCTAGAAAACAATGAATACATATTATTTTCAGAACGCGGATATCTGAAACATATACTCAACAAGTGTAGTGACTCACATACGATTGATTACCTGAGTAATAAACCCAACTATGCTAGAGTTGGATGACTCGATGACTGGTATGACATTTAACTTGTGATGCTTTGTGAAAAGCAGCAGCACATGAAAGAGTGTGTCATCCTCATGGGCAGGGAAGAAGGGTTCCCATAAGAATGACTTGGTCAGCTCTATGATCTGCATGAAATAGTTTTTAGGTACACACGCTGCACATTTGATGCTCGTTCAAACAAATATACACATATTTATCGAAGACAATTGACTGTCAAGATTTGTACAAGAGAATGCTTTGATTTTTTTTCCTTTAGAGAACAAAAGAATACCTTAGTCTGTCCGATCTGATAGTACTTCTCTAGCGTATCAAAGAACCCATGGTTGCCTTCCTTTGATGCAGCTCTCGCTTTGTCAATTTCCTGGTAACATACGCATGTATACGAAAGGAACCTAATATGTTCTTCTTCCTCTGTGATTTAGAGGCTCAAAACGACACTACGATCACTCACCTCAAGCGACCATAAAACCATACTCGAGAACTCGATGAAGCCAATATCTCGATCCATAGACTTCTTGGACGCAGAATCCGCAGGATCAATGATCGCTGCGCCGGATACATTGTTCTCATACAGCAACCGGATTGCATGCGCCACGCAGTCGTCAAATTTTACCTCCAAAACTGTGATAACATTAACATACCACACTGGTGATTCCTCCGACTTATTCGTCAAACAAAGCTTCAGAAAGAAAGCAGAAACCGGATCAATAGCATCAGCCATTTTGCTCGGATTAAGACACGGATTCTTAGATGCTGTCATCTTCCTCTTCTTCAAATACTAGTGTTTCCATTAAACATGTGAAGGATGCAAGGAAGACGAAGGGCATGCAAGCGCACCTGGCACGGAACCACGAATACCAGGGATGGCAGTGATAGGAATGTGATCGAAAAAGGACTGCAGCACAGAGCCGGAGTCTTCTTTTCGATCGCTGTCGCCGTCTCCTCTTGCTCCTGGAGGCATGGCCTCTCCCTTCCTTCCGACCACCGCCGAAGTGCTTCATGTTATCACTTCCACAGCCCCTCGGATCCAAAACACATCCGTGTGTGCGCGTTGGTGCAGCCCGGCACTATCGCCGAAGCCATTAACGTGGCGGGTGGCGCAACAGCATCAGGTCCTGCACGCATGCTTCTTCCAACACGTGTCACGAACTCGCGTCTTTGGCTCCCCTTAAAGACCCAATATTGACCCATCCATTACGATTTCCAGGACAACTAATCTCCGCCGTTGATTTGACTCAAGATTAGAACTCATTCCTTCCTCTCTTGTACAAATCGAATGATTTATTATTCTAACAGAGAATTCAGATGCGGATGAAAGCAGCGGATCAAACAAAAGCCGGTCTCAACGCATGACGTGTGCCCCAGCAGAAGCAGAGGCGGTGGTTGATGGGATGGGCGTCTCCTCATCCTGGCTCAGAGGCGGAGGCCGTCGCCGCGTGGGGCCGTCCGGCTCCTGATAGGAGGGCCGCTATCCTAGCGGACTCGATCAGATACGCGTCATCCGCCGTCATTCGTATTCCCCTTCTCTCTCCCTCGTTCTCGTGGAAGCTGAGATCAAGCAGAAGACGAAGAAGAAGAAGAACAATGCAAGAGAAGGAAGACATTTTTTATATCCTTCTCCGCAGGGGTAAATCCCGAGCTTATTTATTTGATTTGGTCATCGGATCTCGTTTTTCCTTTTTTCTCGTGATTTGTTTCGGAAGAGGAATCATGACATCTCACTTTGTTCCAATCGTGTCATGATGCCGGAACCTGGGTTTTGTCAGCCCTAATCGATCCGACGCTGGCTTCTTTTTTTCGGCATCGCCCATTATTAGATTGATTTCGTGTTCAAACTCAAGAAAGAGATCTTGTTTCGATGGATTTGGATGTGAATTTGTACGATTTGATTTAAGGTTTCCATCCATTCTGTCGAAGTTCGCACTGATTTAGAGGTTTGGGGATTCTGGTCCCTGAAATGCTGAATGCTATAGCCATGACGGTGATTCGTTGACATCGCGATGAACTTTCTTGACGCACTTATTATTGGAGTGTTTTTATGTATTACTCAAGAAATAGAATGATTTATAAGGCTAGATGTATTACTATTATTATATAGCCATGTTAGTTTATATCTTTTTTCCTACATATGCAATGCATATGCTTTATTCATTCATAGGCATGCCTTTTAATTCAATGAGTGAGACAGCTTAATTTTGTCTCACATTAGAAGTGAGAGGATAAGAGTGATCGCATCCAATATTAATGAGTCTATCATCATTAATGTTGCTTAAGCATTTTGAGCAGCCTTTTAATTAATTAGTCCCATGTGTATTGGATAAGTACTCTTATGAGGTCACTTCAATGAAACTTGCATATTCATGCAAATATTGATGTTACTTGTGAAGCGCATTGAGTTGGTAGCTAAGAGCTTATAGTTCATTGTAGTTGTCCTTTCTTTTGTTTGTTCTTTCTATAGATGATCCCTACATTTTATTCTTACCTTTCCTTTGGAATCAATGAATGTGATGTCTTGATTTAGCCTCACTATGTGGTTGTCTTTTCTTTTGTTTCTTTTTTCTATGGATGATCCCCACATTTAATTTTTACTTTGTCTTTGGAATCAGTGAGTGTGATATCTTGATTTAGTCTCACATCGAAAGTGAAAAAATAAATATAATAATATCTAATGCTTCATCAGCCTACTACCTTAAACTTGTGATTAAGTATTTTGGATCATTGGTTTAAGTTAACGGTTGGTAAGAGCTGTGACTTCCCCATGCAAAGAATCCCATGTCGAATTTGCATTCCTTGATGACGTGACAAATTTTTGACATTTGTTCAATTTGTTGTCATGTTGAGAAGAATGTGATTTATAAAGTTAAGCCAATGAACAAGTGTATGAGAGTAATACTTGGTGTCAGATATTCTTGCTATCCATGGATTCTACTTATAATTACTACTAAATGACATTTATCTGAAAGACAATTTGATTGGCTATATATATTATGCATGTTATTTTTTAATTCCTCCTGATGCATTAACTTTTGTCCGCGACGTGGTTCTGGTAATCTTTTCCCTGTTATTCTCCTTTCTACTGATTTTGTCTTATTTTTACTAAATTATCCTGTGAGTCTTCAAGTCATCGTTTCTAGCTATTGTCATCATCACAATTTATTTTGCCTGCCTATTCTGTTGCAGCTTCTTAAGATTCATCAGAGCTCATCATGTCGGACATGGATGTCGATAGACATATGAACCAAAATGCCGAGACTGCCGTGCCATCATCTCAGCAGGAGGTGATATTTAAACTTATACTTTTATTTTATAAATTTCTATTACGTTAAATGATGTACGTGACGTTCACACGTGGATTCGAACTTGAAACCTCCATATGTCTCAACAAAGACAACTTGCACCTTTTATTTATTCCTTCCTTCCATTTTAAGCACTCGCTAATGGTATTCAAATTATATATGCACAGCTTTTAAGAATGTCTTGACGAAGATTTATCAGCTCGTGATTATGTATAATTAACTTGTTGCAGGAGGAAGCAGTCAAGAAAAAAGATGGAGGAATTTTACCCAAAAAGACCACCAGTCATATCCGAGGTAATCAGAACCATTTCTGTTGCAAGTTTCATTGCTGTTATAAATATTCTTTCTTAAGCGTGCTGAACGTTGTAAAAGTGGAAACAAATACTACGGTAGGACCATGAACTGGCTTACTTTGATTCAGCAGGCTGGGCTTTAGGGAAGGTATCATTATCAGCTCATACAAAACTATTTCGAGCTAAGACGCTATGAGGCCACTTCCTCTGGTTCGACTAGATTGTGAAATTACAGCAGGGGGAACTTGCTCATAAGCCCAAAGAATCCCTTGAGGCACTCCGACCAAAGTTGCAGGTATGCCTTCCTCTCCTTGTCCCTGTGTAGTCTCACACCATTCTGTTATCTGCTCCCACATTTGTATGCCTTCCTCTCCTTGTCCACTTTATCTTCGCAAGTGCCATGCAAACCTGCTTTTGTTTGTAATGTGTTTACAGTGTGCATACAGTCAAAAAAGTTCCTTCATAATTGATTTTGTGTCTTTTCTTTTTTTTTTTTAGCCCACACCACATCTGCAAGTACATTCTCGTCGCACAGCCTATGCACACTCTGATAGCAAAGGTACGGTCAGTTGTTTGGCTTCTGTTCTTCAGAAACCAGTTAATGTCATCTCTTTCTTTTTCAACCTGTAGAGGGAGGAAGTGCTACTTCAGAGGATACCTAGGATGACAATGTTAACGATCAGTGATTTCAAGTTGCCGATTCCGTCGACCTTGTCTCTGACAGCTACCTTCTTCCTGTATGAGAAAAGAAGTTTGAGATCATTTTCAGATTCCACAAATAAAGAACGAGGGTGGTTTTGTATTTGTACGAAAGGTTACCATTGTGACATAATTTTGTAGTGCACAAATAGATGCTTCTTTATGCTATAATTATCATCTATTATGATGATAGATTTTGATTGTCCGATATATCAAAGGTTTCAAAACCAATTTGGTTCAATATTCCAAGGTTTCAAAACTAATTTGGGTTTAATATTCGAACATGAGCTTTGGTGTTCTAAAGTAACTTGACGTTTAGGACTCTTGCAAAATTATGTTGGTATATACCCAACAAATGTTCTTTCATTAAGTGGATTTTAGAGGTTTGGAAATATGTTCCACCATAATTTAGTTCGTATACTCTAATTGTTGAACTCTTTGGATTTGGATTAGGTCGGAAGATCCTCCCGAAACAATTTGAGAATGAGTGAGTAAATTCAAAAGAGATTTTTTTTTTCAACCATGGTCGTGGTCTACGTATGATTATCCTTTCGTATGATCCAAATATTCTTATTCTAGCATCAATATGTTAGGGAATATCATGATTTCTTATACTAGAATAGTGAAGGATTCGAAAAATTAAGGACTATTTTAAAATAATTTTTGACAAAGTAACGTAGCTAAGAGGATCTTATAGTAATTTTTGGTAACTAACTAGAATAAATGGACACTAATTCATTGGGCAAATACACAAAATCATCAAACGTCACTCGGATCTAAAAAGTCAATCGAAACATTCAAGCAGTGTGTTGGGTTAATAAAATAGGTATTGTATCAAGTTGATTAGGAAGAGCCATTGGATCATCCACATGCTCAATTGTGGGGTATATACGTATGTTGGTAGTGTAGTACTGCTTACAACATCAACTAATTTGTCCCCGTCGTTCTCTTTTCTCCCAAACACTTTTTGACTTCCGTAAATGCAATTAGCTTCGAATGGAATTGCACAAGCATTCACATGGACTACCACTCCAACAGAAATCCAATCCACACATCATTCCCCATGCAACAAGTCACGTCAGCAGCAAACTCCTTAGCTAAAAAGCAGCAAGTTCTTCATCCATAGATACGATATACATCGAGACGTATTCCAATTTTGATATGTACTGATGGTACAATAAAATTATCAAAAATAACTTCATTTTTTTAAAAAAATAAAAAAATTGAATCAGAGTTTTTAAATTAAAAATAAATATAAATTTAGTATGATTTTAATAAAAATAATCTAAATTAAAAAAATAATGACACATCATTTTCAAGTTTTGCGAGAGTACTTTTATAATATGTTCCGGATCTTCTTTCGATTAATATTAAATTATTTTTAAAATTATTTTTAAAATAATTTAAATAATCAATCGATGGATATATCTAATTTTATCATTAAAAAATGATGAGACTCTACAAGCGATGGATTGAGATCCTTCATTCTAAATATCTATATATCAGTTTGATATATTTATCGGATCCAATCCTAAAAATTATCTCATGACATAATATACTAATATACCATATGTCTTTGGTGCATTGATGTGATGATGATCATAGTTTGATCGTTGTGAATCACATGTTCGAGATGATTGGTGATGCAAGGACGATTATGACATATATTAGTGCGAAGCATGAAGAATGTCAAACCTTCTATTTTCATCATTAATTTACTTCTTTGTATCATAAGATTGATCGCTATACTACTATTGATCGTAAGATTCTTCATAATATGACAGTTGTGAATACGATAAGCTTCACTCTATGTCTATGTCATGTAAGCTCTGTTGCATCTGCTCAAAATCATTCATTATTTTCTCCTTCCTTTTTTGTGTATAAACTTTTGACTAATACCTCATTAAACTCTATAATCTAAATCTTGAGTGACATGTGTAAAATACTATTCCTCGATCCACACACCACCCTCTGCTCAAAATCATTCATTATTTTCTCCTTCCTTTTTTGTGTATAAACTTTTGACTAATACCTCATTAAACTCTATAATCTAAATCTTGAGTGACATGTGTAAAATACTATTCCTCGATCCACACACCACCCTCAAAATTATGTAGACAAGACCATCAACTCCTTGGTGTCATCGCTATCGATCAAACCACTACTATCCATATTATTGTTATATCTCTAGACCAAGCGAGCCGTTAAATATGATTAAGAAGATATCTCATCGCTCGACTGATTGTTTGTTCGAGCCGTTAAATATGACCATGGCAAATTCAAACGATCAAATTGATTGTTTGAAATAAAGTAATCTGAACTCTTGATAAATTAATAGATATCACGTGGCAGAGGATGGTCCACATGCTAATCCCCTTTCGGATCGGATCAGTTGGTATCATTTGTGCCAAATGGTACAGTTCAATACGACGAACCGTGCTTACAATCTAAGTCAAAGAGCAAACCAGTGAACATAAACAAGCATTGTCTCATAGCTATAACGGAGATTAAAATATTCAGGCATAAGCGTACCATCCAAGTAGAGCAAAAAGTGAAGAAGAATTTTAACAGAGAAAAAAAAAATGGCAACCGTACCAAAGAATTAGCAACCTTTGAAGAGCAATCGGAGCATAATCATCACATTCCCTATCGATGATGCATCATTACAGTATCAGACTAAAAGATGCAAAGGTCAGATGATGCACACTATACCAACAGCAAGCAGCAGGGCAAACAATCGGGTTGCAGCAGCACTACCTACTCCACAAGTTAAAATAGCTGGAACAGTGTATTAGAGTGAATAACATTGAAATATCCTCTCTTTCTTGGGAAGGACCAGTGAGAAGATAATACGCCAATCTTCACCTTGGAGAATAGGAAATGACAAAAGTATCATGTAATCTTGTCTGATGTGAACTTGTAAATTATCAGACAAACCAGCTTAACGAGAGTATCATCACTCCATATAGTGCTCTTTTAAACATCACATACTATATATATCAGACAATGTTTAACACGGTCAACCATAAAAGCTGGTTAAATCAACAAAGTTTCTTCAAACAACTACAGTTCACTAAAGCTAATCAAATAAAGGAATTGTGCATGTGTTATTGATCCTTGGAGCAAAATGAAAGTTTTATTCGATGCAAAAAGCCAGTTGTGTTCATAATGTCATTAATTGCATGTAGTGATGTCTATAACGAAGCAATGATTTTAACAATAAGTATATCCTGCTGCTTAGTTTCTCCATTTACCACTCCAAATGTCGAGAGGAAACATATAAGAACAGAAGAAAAAATAAGATACAAAAAACAAATAATAAATGCCAGGTAATAGAAATGCCAAATCCACTTTGTTTTACAAACAAATGGAAAAATTCAGATTGTGGAATCCTCAAACCGAGACAAATATTTTTTTAGTTGTGGCAACTAAACCATGATACTGTGATTTGTACTATATTCTAATATGGTAAACATTGTCTATTCAAAGGATTTCAAGTGTTACTCAGTATTGAACATTGTCTCATCATTGCGGGTCATAAAAAGATGAGGATATTGTGGACGATAAACATTGTCTATTCAAAGGATTTCAAGTGTTACTCAGTATTGAACATTGTCTCATCATTGCGAGTCATAAAAAGATGAGGATATTGTGGACGATGAACAAAATAAAGGTTTGACTTATGTTTGTACATAACTTCTTTGGTTAAATTATAAATAAAATCTAAAACTGAAAACACATATATAGCTAGGTTTCGCTTTGGCCGCAAAAAGGTACAGAATCAAACCAAACTGCAACCATCTTTTTTGAATTTCCACAGACCAAACTGTCTTTCTTAAGGTCAAAAACAAATCCAAACAGCATTTTTAAATTTGCTTTGGTTTGGTAGGTTAGACCATGAGATGAAATAATATGTTGTATCGAGGGGGAATCTAGCGAGAAGTATTGGCAATCTGCTGTACACACTCTTCTTCAAAATGGAGATAAGAACTTCTAATATAACCTTAACTGGGTATTCCAAATTACAAAGAAAATGAAAAAGAAGCAAACAATTTTTCTTACCTAAAGCATACGGTTTGATCAAACAAATTTAGCTGGCTTCCTTAAGAGACTAAAATAGCAAGAAGTTAATTCATTATATCCAGGACTTATATCCCAACTCAAACAGGACACCGAACACATTGTCCGTTACTCTTTTATCAGCAAAAGGAACAGCTATAATGTTTAAGTCCTTCAAAAGTCCTTAAACAGAACATGATGATCACCCCAATAAAACAAATATGGTTATCAAGATCTCTAATAAAAAAGATAACAAGAAGATCTCCCCAACAATTGTTAGAATAACAACATTAAACTAGTGAAATCATATCTCACAAATCATATATTTCATTGTGATTTACACATCATCTTCATGAAGTTCAAAAAAAAGATGCATCATGTGGGAGATGTGTGAGAAGAAAAGTAATCAGACCATAAATGTACCAATAATCAGGCTGACTCAAAGTTAATCCAAACTTATCAGTTTTAGAATAGCAATGTGTACAAGAACCAACAAATACATGCCACAAGCAATGACAGCAGACATCCGTTTGTATATCGAATTATTGAAAATAAGCTTGATATAACAGCAAATGTTCAGTCAACGATAGAACAAACAAGCATTCTGGCCAAAAATTATCCATAATGTAAACAACAACACTTCTTAAACCTTTCAGCCTACTAATCAAGCATGCAAAAAAGAAAAAATCTCACAAGTTCAAATTTTGAAGATAGAGAACAACATAGTCCTCATGATCTAATTGTTATTTATGACAAAGATGAAAAATATAGATGAAGAATGCAAGTACCCTTCAGACCACAGAAGCATCAGTATCCTTCTCACCCTCTGCTGCTCCAGCTGCAGCATTGGCCTCTGCTTCCGCTACTTCATCGACAGCATTTGCTGTGGCATCTTTCTCCGCAGGTGGCTGCACCTGCTCCTCCTCTGGCAGTGGCTCCTCCACATATTCATTCTCAAATGCATCCGGCGGCACCTCATATATCCTTACCTGAGGCTTTGCTGGATCCTTCACAAGCACATATTTTCCCTCGTTAAGCTTCATGCAAAGGTCCACGATCGATTTCACAATCCCCCACATGTTAGAGGTATTAAGGTTGATCTGAGCAGCAAAATCTTTCAGCTTGTAGCCAATGACACTCAAAATAACATGGTTGAAGTGATCCCGGGGATGGACTCTGGAGACATAGCCCAGTTTCATCAAATCAGCGCCCGCAAGGAGGGCTTGAGCTGTCCACTTGGCCAGCTTGTTGGCGTTGTTTTTGAGTTCGGTAGCAAGAACTGCTCCCCTCTGCGTCTCAAGTTTCTGCCTCCAGTCTACCCCAGAATATTTTGGATCGAACTCGTTGAGGGCGTTAAGGGTCATGAAGGTTTGCTGTCCCTTGACCTCAGTCACACTGTGCACCTCACATCTTGCAACGAGATGAGTGTTCTCGTCCAGCTTCCAACGGCGGTATCGGTAGGCAACGGAGGCGACCTCCTCGCCTTCAGAAGCAAACGGGTTGGGCTCATCAAAGGTAACCTTGTTGCCATCACGTACAAGGACCTGCTGGGAGAAGTTCTGGTTGATGTAAGTGGCCTCCATGGCGAGGGAGTACGCCGAGTTTATGTCCTCCTTGGCCTCGGGTAGCGGATCCTGCGAGGTCTCGTTGACGGAGAGGAGGTCGAGTTGAGACCCGTCGCGCTTGTCAAAGAAAAGCTTGTTGCCAACCCGCTGGATGACAATGTCCCAAGAGGACACGGAACGCGGGGCGCACATGAGGGCAGAGAGGATGGCGTCGGTGGCGAAAACGGTGGCCTTGTCGTCGGCGGCGAGGCGGCGGATGACCGGGTCGTCGGTGGTGGTGATCTTGAAGAAGTTGCGGGACTTGAAGCGCTCCAGACGGCGCTCGTTCTTGGGGTTAACGCGATCGAAGTTGCGGTCGTAGAATTCGAGCGCGCCACAGATGAGGAGGTCCTCCGGCGGATCTGGAACAGCGAAGGAAAGCTTGGAGAAGGTGGAGAAGGGGATCTGGTCGAGCATGGTCCATTCCGGCTGGATATCGACGGAGGACTTTTGGTTGGGGGTGTCGCGACGAGAGCCGGCAAAGCCGGGACCGCCGGCATACGCGGAGCGGCGGTGCATATTGTAGAGACGGTCGCGGCGGGCGCGCTCCTTCTCGGCCTCGCGCTTCTTGGCCTCGACCTCCTCGTCGCGACGCTGCGGCAGCTGTGGGCGCTGCTGGAAGCGCCAGCGGGGGCCGAACTTGGGGCGAGGAGGAGGCTTGCCGTCTACGAGGCGGAAGGAGGAGTCATCTGCGGCGGCGCCGGAAAGGGCGGACGACTCATCGAGCGCGAAGTCGAAGACGGCGTCGCGGGTGCCACCGGCAGATCGGGAGGCGTTCGCGCTAAAGTTGGGGTTACGGCTCCAGTCGGCAACGCGGCCGAGCTTCTCGGAGCGTGAGAAAGGGGCGAAGGGTATGTTAGCCGGGTGGGCGGCGCCGTCCTGCTTGACGAGGAGAGGCCCGACGGGCGTCTCCGGCGGACCCCAGCCGTCAGGGTTGAAGGGTACATTCCCCACGTCGAAGCCCATCTACACTCTAGGGTTTCCGATGCGATCCGCGGTGGTGAGCCGAACAAGACAACACAAGGTTGCTTGTTTAGGTTCCCTATTCACGGCCTTATAAAGGCATCGCTTTAGCGATCGGGATTATCTGATGGTTTCGGATTCAGCGTCCGTTGGTGACGGTTTGATCTTAATCCAACGGTCGGATGGCCACCCGCAAAACGTAAACAGCCCATTGGGCCGGTCTAAGTGCTCCTATGGGCCGGCCGAAATCAAACCAGTTGTAGGTTTTACTTGCAGTCGCATATTGTCAGGTCTACAAGTTCTGCAAACAGTTCTTTAGCGGAAGATGATGCAGTTGCATCTTTGTTTAACTTAATTAATGCACATATCAAGTATTCAACTTGACCTTTGTTAAAGATCGTTGGTGCAGAAAATCCAGCTCTTGTATCAGCAGCAGAGCAAATTTTTGGTGCTGGTGGAAAGAGGCTGCCACCAGCTTTAGTTTTCCTGGTGTCAAGGGCCACTGCTCAAATATTTGGTGTTAAGTCATCTCATTTGCCTTCTGCAGTAATCTATGGTTGGAACACCATGGAAGATTTATTGATTTAATGCTTAAAACAGGGAACTGACTGTAGAACACCGACGTTTAGCAGAGATAATCGAGATGATTCATACTGCAAGTTTAATCCATGATGATGTGCTAGATGACAGTGGGATGCCACGAAGTAGAAATCTTAGATAGTGATCGGGAAAATATCGCAGTGGGATGCCACGAGGTAGAAATCTTACATAGTGATCGGGAAAATATAGGGGATCACCGGTTATTTGATATGTAGCACGGTTATAAGCTATTCTCTCTCTGTTTAGACAAGAGAAAGTTTTCGACTTTTCCCTTAAAAAATATTTCATAGAATATTCTCACCTTATCTCATACAAAAAATTATTTCTAACACAATAATCAAGATCAATATATACATATATATATATATATATATATATATATATATATATATATATATATATACTATTTTTGTCTGAGACATTAGGTTAAAAAGGTTGGGTCAGAAAACCCTCTCTAAGTTAACGCTTCCATCTTAGGGATACTTCTTTCCGTTGCAACCCACGTGAGATATCTCCATCATCATTCGTAAAAAAAAAAATGATACCTCAGTCTTATGAATCAAGAGGATTAGAATAACAATTATGGTTCATGTGATAATTTCTTTTCAGAAACATAAAATGAGACGCGAGTGGCTGTAACAGCGGGAGATTTCTTGTTTGCACAATCTAGAGAAAATGGAAGTTATAAAGCTCACAAGTATGCCAGGCAGATTTCACTAATTATTTGTTAGCTACGAACAAATATCATGATTTCTTGGGAAGTTGCTATCTCGCCGCAGGCTATCTAGGATTCGGCCGACTATGAGATTAAGCAAGCATCAAGGCTCTTCAACAGTGACCTTATTCTTAAGTATTTGCAGCTTTAACCGCCGCAAGCTCAAGGTCTAGGTGAACAAATGTTTTGAGTAGGGAAGAACATCGGCATCTATTTCCAGGTAGTTGATGAAGAGAAATTATTATCTAATCCAAGTTCAGCCAAGATAGTTTGTTGGCCACCACGATTGAATCAACTCTCAAGTGTGCCGAGGGCTCCATAGAGCCAGAGGGCAGAGATGGCCATCGAGAAGCAGATATGCCTACCTGAGAGACTGAAGACTCGATATGCATGTATTCTTTGATCAATAAAACATTATTATTATTATTCGACATGCTGTTGAAGACGAGAGAGAAGGCAACAATAAAACAAGAAAAGAAAACCAGAAACCCTGTAAGAACTGGACTCCAAGAAAGGTACCACTAGGAAGCAAACCAATAACAAGGAAACAATCCAAGGGAAGAACAATGACGACCAAATTCCTATATGACCATATCGAGGTACAAAAGAATTCATACAAAAAAGGCACGTCCAGGCCAAAGATCTAGGACTTCAGTCTCAAAAATCCACATCCTCATACAACGTTATGAAACAGATCAAAATTGATTTGATGGTAAAACAAAACAGTGGCGACTGACAACAGCATAAAAATGGCATTTATCAAGTAACAAGCACATTAAATTGATAATTAGATGTAGGCACGTGCATTTGCCATTAACCACAAGAGAAGGTAAATGGAACTTAATGCAAACAGCATAATGCCAATAGATTTAGGCAACAGGGAAAAAAAGGAAACCAAACAAGTCTTGGTAACCTCGGCAAAGTTGCCCTACAAAACTGAATCAGTAGTTTCTTTACGATTATATTCATTAAATGTAAGCGATGTGGTTTGGCCATAACTGGAAATCAGTCAGTTAAATTTGCAAGATAAAACTAGCAAACTGAATTCTAAAATATGAAGTTTCCAATAGTAGTAATGCAAACCCAAATATTGAAGCACAAAATTATAGTCAATGAATAAAAATACAATTAAAATAGGTGTTCTAAAGCAACCATACAGAAGGAAATAAAATAATACAAAAGTATAAGATATTTACAGCACAGATAAAGGGAAGACAACAAACAGTTTGACAGCATTCACAATGTTAAATTTCTAGCAGTTCTCGAAACCATCATATAATCATACATTAGTATGCTAGAAAAAGCTCAAAAGTAATTCCCAGAGCAGGGGCTACCAGAGTACCATGCAAACAGTTCAGCCTAACTATAGATTTTAATTAAATAATAATAAATCAGTTCAAACTTCACCGAAAGATACATATGTTGATTTGCAATCCAGGATAAAAACAATAATTCAGGAAATCCTCAATGGAAGGAGCTTGTGTCATGCAATATAAAAGATCAAACAGAGCAGATGTTCTTGGGAAGTGCTCAATGTAAAAACAAAGACATTTATTGAAGAACACCTCACTAAACCACCAAATGATCAGCTACTCTGTTTGCTCAGCAAACATCATAATACAAATATGCACTTTGCAGTACCACTTTATCAAACATGTTTCTCATTCAAAGTTTAGTCTACATCCTTGTGCTCATAACCTCAACTTTTTCAATCATCCATTTACTAAAACTAATACACCATCCATCAAATTCAGTTGATGTAAAACATATCAAAAAGCGCATGTAGCAATCTCAAACAGTTCAGTGAGTGGCTATGAAAAGCACCATTAAATGCAACATTGAAATCATGTAAGCTTCCACATCTTATGCTACTAGAGATTCAAAAATAAGCAAACGCCGAATGAAGCTACATAAATAAGTTTGGCCTCGATGCCTTATATGTGGTTTTCAACTTCCTGGTTGGAGGCCTAACCTTCTTAAACACCAGAGGAAACTTGATTTTTGAGTCATGGAACTGCTTAGTACTCTCCCTCTTGCAAAGCTTAGACGGAATTGTAGCTGTTTTAATTATTTGAATACAGTGATGCCTTACTCGATGACGAGAGGCCATCTCATTATACATCTGCTCGACAGCACCATTGAGAGTAGTATCACGGTATTCCTTGTACATGTTGTGATAGCCTGTTCTGCTCTGGTATCGTAACCAGATGCCATAATTCTTGATCTTGGTGGGTTTACGCTCAAAGATCTGAATTTGCATAGGTACACCAGTAAAGAGTAGGAAACAATAATGATTAAATAATTAGCCAACACTGAAAGACAAGCAACATATAAAGTCACCAAACTAAATTTCTTGCTCAAAAACCCTATAATCAAGAAATTTACTAAGGCTTATACAAGCAGATAAATGGCGAACAACAAGGATTTGACCTAATAGCTTAATATAGCATGCAAATTTCCAGTAATTAACAATTTTGCTTATTAGTAAGGTAGGACACATGAGACAAGGAGCCACTTGACAAGGCAACATGTCATATTAAATGTAAAAAATTTGGGTTTAGCTTATGCTTTCAAGCTTTTAAATCTAGATAACAAATACAATAGCAACACGAACAAACTGGCAATGTGGCATCTTCCTTATCTAAATATACAAAATACATATGCATCTGTACTCATGCCAAACGTTCAAATAAACAAAGAATCACTAATATCTCAAAGCAGACAAATTCTAGTATCAACTATACTGACTGAAGGGTAGAAAAGACCAGTACCCACATAACTGACTGTTAAAGAACTTTTTCTCTCTCCAAAGCCCTCTGCATCCATGGGAATAGACTGATATCCAAGAGAGAAGTATTTATGTACTTATATCCTCTGATAAATCTTTACTACCTTGTAAGGCATTTTGGTTCTCTACTCGCTGATTCTCGCATAACAATGATGAAGTAAATATTTCATCTCGCCATACCCCCAATAGTAGAAAAGGAGCAGATTTCACACAAAGGACAAAATCTCATACAAAATCAGCATCAATATAAGGAGCACTATACATTCAAGGAAAGAACTGAGAAAAGACAAAATAAATGAAACCTCGTTGATTGCCAGCACTTGTCCATTGCTCTTCTTAACCTTCTTAAGCTTCCTCAAGAAGTACCTACATTACATGGAAGTAGCTACAATATGAGAAAAATGCTGCTCGATAAATCGAAAAATGTTTGGATCTACAGCAGGTATAAACTTCGTGTCCCACCAAAACTTGGATTTGGCGCGGACCTCGTTCGTTGCCCACAGTTTCATCCGGTAGATCTTCGGGTGCTCATCGGCGGCCGTAGGGAGCGCCCTCCCGACCACTTGATACTGATGGAACTGCAAACAACCATCAAATAGACGATCAAACAAAGAATCCCACCCAATTATCAGATCCACGACACTCGAAACGCCAAGAACGTAACAGGCATCGACGAGGAGGAAAAGATGAGAATCAAGCATAAAGAGACTCGGATCGAAGAGCAATGTATACCGAACAGAGGATTCGAAGACTCACCCTAAAGGCTACCATGTCGAAGCGCCGGCGGCTGAATAGCTTCATCAACGAAAGTAAAAGGCTTATTTATAGAGATCCACTGAACCCTAACGAACTGGGCGACCATTGACCTGGACGAGTTAGTTTTGGGGCTCTTGTTAGCTAAACTGGGCCGGACCAACTAGTTTTGGGCCTACTCTATCATAATAATCGGTACGAACAACTCGAGAATATACAAAATAGAAAATTAAAATAAATAAATTCAAAATAAAATAAAATAAACGATTAATATAATACTTTTGTGAATGATGAAATAAATAATAGTTTGGCCAATTTACATTTAACAGCCCGACGACGTTCGAGTGATGCAGTCTGCCGACTTTGAGGTTTAGGTTTAGGAGGGTAAATACGTTACATCCTTACCTGTTCTCACTCCGAGGTGCGAGAGACGACCGAGCGAACCGTTAACGGTAGAAACATCGGATGGGCGGCGGCGGAGCATCGGCCGAGACGGCGAACCCCAAGCCCTCGCCCCTCAACCCCAACTGGGCGCAGCTTCAGCAGAAGCTCAAGTCCCGCCGTCCCCCTAAACCCTCCCATTCCGCCGACCCCGGCGCCAGAACCCTAGCGCCATCCGTGTTGGGAAAGCGCAAGGAGAGAGCAGAGCCCTCGCCGGAGGCATCTCCATCCGCTTTTCTCTCTCCGACCTCCACTGACTGCAGGTTTTGTTCCTCCTGTCGCTGTTCGAAGAAACATGGTGGCTTTTGCTCTTGCTCTCGGAATTGTTTGTTACGTCCGCTTCCTCGAATTACAGCCTGACGGATGCACTGGCTATGGACTGTGAGATGGTCGGCGTGAGCATCGAGGGGAGTAAGAGCGCTGTTGGAAGGGTCACGCTGGTGCTTAATCTTTACTCTTTGCTTTCTGTCCATTTTTTTTCCTATTTTTGTTTGATTGCTTAGATGACTCCGCCTAGAAGTTCCATGAATTTGATATTAAATAAGGAATCGTGACTTGCAGATAATGACATCATGATGAGTTGATAAACAAAATGTAGATCAGAAATAACTAAGTAATTCTGTAGGATTTCATATCTCAAACAACAATCAAGTTCATTTGACCTGATTCTTCAAATTATTTATGACATAACTCAATGAAAGAATGACTATATATTGCTCTTTCTACTTACAAAGATGATCTTCGGTGAGCAAGTAAGCATAGGAGAGCTCAAACTTTTCCAATGGTCAAATTAATACCATAATACTAAAACACAAGCAAGAGCTATCAAACATAAAATATATACAACAAGATCAACATTATGTTTTCCCTAGTTACTTCAGTAGGCTATATGGAATCTTGTTGAACTTTGACAAGGTCAGTGTCACTGGATAATTTCCTCCCTTGGCAAATATAATCTTATTTGATCTAACTTGCATCCTGGTACATTTATAAATTTACTGATAAAGATATAAGTTCAAAAGTTTAGTGAAAATTGCAGATTACCCACTTGTTTTTGAGCTTTATTTGCAATCTGCTTGTTGTTTGAGAAGCATCACTTGGTTCACTAGAGTCTCCTTCCATTTGTTATTCAACCTTGCCATTACCCACCTCACAAAAAAAGAAAAAACAAAACAAAAGACAAAAATATACTCTCCATGTTTTCTGGAAACTTTGCCCTTTTAAAACAAGAGTATGTTTATCCTTGTTGACATACATTTAGTAATAAGACGTGTGAAAAAACAAATGAATAGGTGGACAAAGTGATACATTTCTGTGGGTAAAGTGCAGACGTACCTAAGCATAGGTGAGTAATATGTGATTTTCCAAGAAAAATTATGTCACACCAATGTACAGTTGTACATAAGTGCTGTGTTGAATATACCACTTTTTCTACATGGATTTTTGATCTGCCATTATAGTCTCAGAATTGTATTTCATATATAATTATTCTGCTCTGTTCTGTGATAGGTGAATTCATGGGGTAATGTAGTATATGATGAATATGTTCGTCCAATAGAGCGTATTGTTGACTTCCGTACCAAGATCAGTGGCATCCGGCCCAGAAACATGAGAAAAGGTTTGTGTCTAACTATTATGTCTATTTGCATAGCTGTTCTGGAAGTGGATGAAACTGTCATTCCCTAACATTATTTTTTGTTTAATTATGGCAGCAAAGGAGTTTTGGGCTGTTCAAAAACAAGTGGCTGAATTGATTAAAGGACGAATACTCGTGGGTCATGCTTTGCACAATGACCTTAAGGTTGTGAACAATGTAGACTTGTAATTGTCTATATTAATGTCATATTGTAGAAGGTGACAATCATATATATATTTTCTTTTACAGGTGTTGTTATTGAGTCACCCAAAGAAGGACATAAGGGATACCTCAGAATACGAGCCCTTAAGAAGGTTTGGCTTATTTTGACTTCACAAACATTATCATTATGGAAAAGTACTTTGCAATTATATTTCCAATAATCTCTTCTCTGAAAGAAGAATTATTATATTAGGGGTGGTCAAAAGAGGGCACTGAAGCATCTAGCAGCTGAAATTCTTGGTGCTAAGATCCAGGAAAATGAGCACTGTCCTGTGAGTATCAACTATGTTGATAGTTTTTGTAGTGTTTCAGTTTTATCAAGTTGAAATGATTTTTATTCTTCACAAGCTTGGTATAGTTCTAGTAGTTACATTCATCTGTTTAATTGTTTCTAGCTCACTCCGCTTGCCTCAGTGCTTGCAGTCATGCATTGTTGCATCTCTTAGCTTATTGCTTTCATGTACAGTTTCCTGCACCGCTGCATGAGATGATTTGGAATCAGTGCTTGCAATCAGCTTCTGTTGCTGCAAATTTTGATGATTTGGATTTTTTTGCTGATATCAACATACCATAGGATCACATTAGCTGTTATAAGTATCTGAACATTTAGATTGGTTACCATACCTCTGATACTATGAATTGCACGTTTGAGTAAAGCTAGTCACTTTAGGTATGAATTTCCGAAACAGGAACCATTAAGCTATGAGGTTGGGAATAGATCTTCCACTCAATAATTTTAGTCGAAATGGTTTTGGATGCAAGTTTGTTTATATCCTCATACCGAAAATTAGATATAAGATTTTTCTTTATATGGTGTACTTCATATATTAAAATATGAGTTTGTGATGTTTGTCTGATATCTATGATAGCTAAAATTTCATTTATAGTTGAAATGCATTAAAGCAAGATTCTTGTCTTGTACAACTAACATCTATGTTGTTCCCAAGCCAGATATTAATATTACAATCCAAAAAGACAAAATTGGTAATGGATCTAGTTCGTCTTATCTGATTGAGACTTGATCAAAAGTAAAATCTTATCTGAATCTGGCTCGATATACCCCTATGAATTATTGATCTAGCTACTTTCTTGACATTATTGTTTGCTTTGGGATCCCTCCCTGTCCTAGGATCTCAGACGTATTGTACAATCTTGCGTCGATTACTCCAGTTCCAGTTGGCTGTACCTGGTCTTTTGCTGGGATAGGCGAATGGTGCTTAAAGATCACCATGGTGTTGAATCCTAGCTTTCTAGATGGCAGCTAGACAGTATGTCTATAATCAAACCTTGTTGACTGTTTTTTAACTTTTCACAAAGATGTTGAATCTATCTATTTGCTAGATTCGTGCATTTTTTTATCTGTTATTATGAATTACCATTGTGGCTCCACTAAGAGCTCGTTAACATTCTGAGGACTAGGTTATTGTCATTCCCTTATGACACTCTTGGTAAGTTGATGAACAATCTTCGATGAGATTTCTATGTTAGCCTACGACGCATTTATGTACCTGAAAATTTGAGGCTTTTGTAAACTTAACTAATTTGAACTTTGTGAACTTTAACTAGATTGAGGATGCCCGAGCTGCAATGTTTATCTATAACAAATACAAGAAAGCCTGGGAGAAGAGCATGAAGAAAAATTTCATGTTCAAAGAAAAGCTCAACAAACGGAAGAAGAAACAGATGGAGGCAAAAAAAAACTGATGTTCCAACAACCATTTAATGGAAAGAGAATTTGTTTTCTGCTCATCGGAGTCTCCACACCTGGCCTTATTCACATTCGAGCATGATCCTGAGCGCCATATAGTGCAGAATCAGTGATTGTAATTAACTAGATCTCAAACTTCAGAGTTTTGGTGAGAGTCTTGGAATCATATAAAAATGTGAATACCTGGAGATACATGTAGGTGAATCTGAGAAGAAATAGTTCTTCAAAGTGGATTTGTTGAGTACGTATGGCCAGTCTTCTTTTTTCACCTATTTGAAGTAGAGTGAATTATGTTTGTTGTGGTTGCCGCAGGCAACTCATCGAGTTCTTTTCATTTTATTACTTGTTTATTATTTTGTTGAGTATGTATCATCGATCAACATCACCAACTCATCGAAATTATGTCAGGGCATCCATCATTTTTGTTGAGTCGTCAACGTGATGCATTTGAAGCTGACACAGCAGCTACAAAGAAAGCAACTGTGCACCAACAGCTGCCTCTTAGATTTTATTCCTTCCAATACTTTCCCCCAACTGACATAATTTGTTGATATCGGAATTAAAAAAATCACCGTATTTTAAAAGGTTTGATAAACAACCAAATTGTGTGTAAGATAATAAACTTCTGATAAAAATTGTGACTACTTACAAATAAATATAAAAGCGTAAATATTCTGTTTTAATGATTGATTGCGTTTCGGCTGTTGTCATTATATGAAATACTCAGCCAAATAACGTCCGACAAGTTCTAAACATGGGTTGGTTAGGCGTTATTTCGTTGAAATAGTTCTCGATAATTTACTACACAATAGCACAAAACAAAACTTAGCCAAGACTTACCTGAGACATTGTGTTCCATTGCATGATTGTTCATTGGATTTACAAGTAGTAGTCAGAATTAGTCTCAGGAATAATACAGCGGACGAAACAAGAACAGCATCAAGCACTAGATCACAAAAACAGAGAAGAAACCATAAGAAAAAAGTGAAAGGAAGATGTGGTGCAGGTACGTACAGTAACACCCGCTCATGGCACAGTGAGGGAAGAGCAAGAACGAATGGTTGGAATAGATGTAACAGAGCACTCTTACCACGTCCAATTCCACCTCAGAATAGATAACCGGCAATGGCTACAAGCCCTCCGCCCACAAGGAGGCTCCATCCGACACCCCTCCCATGCAAGCCAGCTCCGCTGGTCCCTTCCTCCGCGGCTGTCGAATTCCCAGACGGGCTCTTCCCACCGGCCGTCGAGGGCACCGACGCCGGCGGCTTTGGCCCGAAGAGGTCGTACGGCAACAGCACCTTGTCCAGCGAGTACACCGCCAGCTGCTGGGAGTCGTCGAAGATCTTTTTGGCGATGCGGGTGTGGACGATTCCCGTGGAGATGTTCACCTGCATGTTGCTGTCGGTGGTGACGTTGATGGTGTACGCCCCGTGGTTGCCGGACGCCTGGGTGCGCACCGGGTTGCTCGCCGTCTCGAACATGTCCAGGCTGTAGTAGCGCGGCAGGATGTGGTAGAGCACTAGCCCCACCTGGTCCTGCTGGACGAGGGTGTTGAGGGTGCCGGACTTGAGGCTCTTGAAGGCGGCGTCAGTGGGGGCGAAGATGGTGAAGGCGTTGGCCAGGTCGTTGAGCTCCTCGTTGATCTGGATGTCTACCTGGGTTTCGCGGAGGAGGTGGATGAAGGTGTTGTAGTTGGTGCCGTTGACGAGGATGGCGGTGATGTTGAGAGGCTCGGGTGCCGGCTCGGGGGCGGCCGGTTGGGCTCCGTCGAGGGGGGTGGTGAGGGCGAGCAATGCGGCTAAAGTCATCACCATGAGAAGCGGGCAAGTGGCCATGGCGGTGGTGATGTTGATGGTGGCGGTGGTGGAGGTGGAGGAGGAAGACCTTGCTTATTTATGGCTGGAAGCAAGAGTGCGGAAGGTGGTTGGAATGAGCTGGCTTTTGGAATCCAGTGGAGGAGGGAGTTCTGTAGTTCTCCAACCATTTAGATGTGCCATTTAGATGTATTGGAGGTAGAAATGGGTCCCTTTAGGGCCCCCCAATGAATCATCATGCTATTCATACATATGGATAAGCAATAACCGGTAGGAAAGGCGTCGTTCTCATTATATTTTCATTATATATGTATATATATATATATATATATATATATATGTGTGTGTGTGAAATTAAATGTTGTATATGAAAGTTTACCATTAGTAAAATGTCTTATATAAGTAAAAAAAATATAGTATATGACTCGTTTATGTAGTATCAATTCTACCACAAAAATATGCTCAAATTAAATGATACAAGTTATGTCAAAAGGATTAATAGAAAGAATATTACATTTAAACATTAAATATAAAATAATTATGACTCAAACTCTAATATCCAAATGGTACGGCTCAAGCTTAATAGGTTAACTAATTCATCAACTTTGACTTAAATCATCAATTAAAATACTTAATTTAAAATTAATAATAATATATTCACCGTATCTTTATAAGTTAATTCTAATATTACTTAGTTTTGATGTTGAACTAATCGAAATATTATAATTTTGCTCACTCAATGACTTGACGTCATCATCAAAGCCCAACATAATCTGGGTTCAAACCTTAGTACAGGCATAGCCCAATGGTAATTTCATATCATGACGAGTCATCTGATTCTATGAGTAACTCTTTCCTATTCGAGCCATTTCACTATGCCCAAATACTAGATCAAATCCAATATCAAATGTTATGGCTTAAGCATAATAGACTAATTTGTATTAAAAGGAAGACCTTTGCTTGAGGGTTGGGAAACCCAACACTCACTTTGTCGAGGCGTGGAAGTTGAGAAACTTAACCCTCACTTTACGTTAAGGCACAAAGATCAAGAAGTCCGACCCTCACCTTTGTTAAAGATGAGGTGACACCCATCATGGGGGTTGAACCCACGACCACTCGAGGAGGGTGTAAAACTCGATTCCCACCTTATGTTGAGGCACGAAGGTCAGGAAGCCCGACCCCCACCTTTGTTTGAAGTGTGGAGGCACCCATGACCACCTGAGAATGTCTGGAAACCCGACTCTCACCTTCACCCGAGGCATGGAGGTTAAGAAATTTAACCTTATCAAATCAAGATACGTCTCTTGAAAATATGAGGAGATGGTCGACGATGAATTCCCATCAACATCACTCGAGCATGATGAACTAGATGTGTTAAACGAACTAGACGTGCCACTAGATTGCCGATAAATCGAAGAGATGTAAGCTTTTGATGTGTCAAATGAACTAGAAGCCGCATTTCAAACCTCTCTCACAAAGAGTCCCAAAGCATATCTTGGGACAAGACAAATGATAAGAAATACACTATTATGTTAGCCAATCTTTATTCAATATATGATCACCATGTAGTGTCTAGAGTGAAAGAAGAAGACGAAGGCCACCCTCCACTTGTCTGCCCACTTAGGCAAGGGTTCAAGACAAGCGGTTATAGGTTGCTCTCTTTTTATTGCCCACATGGACAAGAGATTAAGGGAAAGAAGTTGGAGGTGGTTAGAGGTTGTCTCCTTATAAAATATTTTTTAGAATATTCTGTCCATTTACAATGAGGTATAAAAGCTTGTTTTTAACATAATGAGAAAGATGACTTATCTTTTTTTAACAACTCACGTTTGTATTTATATATCTCGAGTTACTAACTGGACATTAAATGAATCATCGGGTCAAAAACTTGACCTTAGTGTTCGTGGAGATCACACCTCGGATAACCCTATACCTATACATATGGATCCGAATTATATCGATCTAATCAAAATGTTAACTGCTTCTTTTCCTAGGTAACAGATGTTAAATCTTACCCGAGCATGCATCTAATATCAATTATCAACCCAAGTCATCAAACCAACTTTTACTTGCCACATGGACATATACTAGATTAATTGATGCAGATCGGTCAGATCAGATTCACTATAGATTCCATTCCATTAACCTACAAGAATCATCATCCGGGTTAGGATGCCAACGAAGATGGTACTATAGTCATTAATTTTTTTCCTTTTAAATAACAGGAAAAACCCCATAAATTGTACCATATTTATATTTTATGTTGAATTATGCACTTTGGTTATTAATATTGTATATATAAATCCGTATGGTACGTTCGGTCACATGTCAGCCATCAGAATAAATTGGTTTTAAATCTATGATTTGATGCTATAAATTAGACAGAACTCGGCCCCCTTTTTTGTTATGTCTCCTTTGCACAAGACATATTGAAGCCCGAATTAGCTACTGATGATGTTCATTTGTATTGGAAAAAGGCTTTATGTGGGCTGGTAATGGGCCCAATTATAGTGCATACGAAGGCTTCGGTAAAGGGCACGAGAAGGATTGCTAGCTGGTATATTATATATAACGGCTGTTAAAGTGACACGGGACGAATTGGCTGGTATATAATATATAACGGGAGTTATAACGTGTTACTGGCCGAGGTAACCGCCCTAAGCGTGAAAAGAACGCGACCGTAAAGTGATATTACCGCTACAACAAGACTTGACCGTCATATTTAAAACATCACGCCGTCTTCACGGTCCCTCCATCACCTCCGTCTTCTTCCTCCCGAAGAAAAGCAGCAGCGACATAGTGAGAGAGAGAGAGAGAGAGAGAGAGAGAGAGAACGCAGAGCGGAGGGCGAAAGAAGAAAATGATGCAGTTGCTCGGCTTCCGCGGGGGATCCGCAGCATCCTCCCCTTCGTCGTCGACGGGAAAGGAGATGGAGCCGTCGCCCACATCGGACCCACGAGGCCCTAGCTCGAGTGTCGCTGTCGCCTCGCCGGAGCCCGGACGCCCTCTCCGCCTTGTCTACTGCGATGACAAAGGCAAGTTCCGGATGGACCCGGAGGCTGTCGCCGCCCTTCAGCTCGTCAAGGGCCCTATTGGCGTTGTCTCCGTTTGCGGCCGCGCCCGCCAAGGCAAGAGCTTCATCCTCAACCAGGTGTTCCCTCTGCCCCTCTTGTAGATTGTTGGCTCCTTTGGTTCTTTCCCTTGATGAATTATTTTTTTTCTTCTTTCCTTCCTGAGTCGATTTAGATGGCTATTCGCTCAATAAACGTTGGTAACTTTGATCTATAAGTGCAAAGTTATCCCGGGATTGTTCACTTTTTACGGGTTACAGGAGTAGTGACCTATTTATATGTCTCATGTGCAAGCTAGGGTTTGCTAGGGAAATGAAAAACCCTAATTTAAGGGTTGAAGGGGCGTTTTAAATTCTTCGAGCGTCATTCGGATTATTCTTTCAGGTCATATGAAGTCTGTATATGTGATGAACCTGAACAAATCCGATGTTATTTCAGATAGGTAGACCTGTAAATAAGAAGGTACTGGGCATTATAATAGCCAAAAAGGAGGCTCATGAAGACTGTTCAAGCCTCTTCAGATAATCAATTGAATAAAACTGCTGGATGAAAAAGTAAGTTGACCAAGCCAAAGTGGTTTTGTCCCTTGAAGAGCTTTTTCACGCTAAAGATGGCCATTTGGGAGCATAGAGAATGGACTTGGGTATTCCATGTTGATATGGTATATTATTCTGTGAGCAACCATAAATTAAAATAAAGCTAGTAAGAGTCAGCAAGCTTAGCTGGTAAGGATTTTGTCAAAAAGAAATGCTGACAGAGACTGGGATGAACATTGAAGTGTAACAATAACATCCGAAAAGCAAGTGCTTGTGTTGTATGATGCCATACCTATATAGGCAGCTTCTTAACGTGCAGTATAAACTCTAAATACACATTTATATAATTTCTATGTATGAGTTGATTTAGATTATTACTCTCTATATAGCCTAGTATTATGCTGAAATATTGGTGGAGCTTTAGATTTGTTACATGAAAAATTTGAGGGCTTGTCTGTGAAACAGAAGATAGTGTATACTTAAGTTGTTTTAGGTTGTGAGTTCTCTGGGAGAAAGCTGGAATAAGTTTCTTGGGGATCTGTCATAATCTGTGTACATATCTATTAAAGGCATAGCCTTTAGGCAATTAGAGGAAGGTTCCAGTGGAGGTGGATTAAAGAGACAGACTTGGTCAATGATGTTTGATTTTGCAATTCCCGTATATTGTTGTTTTCATAACTCATCTTCGTTGAAGTTTCTGGTTGAATTTGCATGATTCTAAATATGCAAGGTTATCAAATTTTGGATCTTTTTAACTTGCTATTACTCATTGTATATCAACCAAAAGATGAAGAGTTGTCATTGATTCGTGACTGACATGCATACTTGATCTTGTGGACCAGCATGGTAATAATTTTAAATGAAAGAATGCAAAGATTAAATATGATGAAATTTATAGTTTATAGCAACGTTCGTAATTTCGTACTGTACCGGAGTATCGAGCTCAGCTCGGTGTGTGTATATATATATATATAAAGACGACGTCGTCTCATTTTTCTGTCCGCGTGGGGAGAAGAAACCGCAAAAAAGGACGACGAGGAGATGTCGTCGCCTCGTTTCTTCTGCCCGCATGGGGAGAAGAAACGTTGCCTCGACGACACTCGGTTTCTTCTCCCCGCGACGTCACCGAGGCTTCTTCTCCCCGCGCGAATGAGGAGAAGTCGCCGACGACGTTGAGGCCTCGTCGCCTCAGATGAGGAGACGACATCTCATCTGTGGCATTCGGCGAGGGAGCGCGACGACGGATCGGGATCGTTGACGGAGAGTGGTGTTGGATCTCCAGGTTCTCTCTTTTCTTCTCCCCTTTCTTTCTTCTCCCTCGGGTAATACCACCCGGTAGTGGGGCGGAAACAGCCCTAATCGGCAGTACTGCCCGGTAGCGGGCGGTCCGTGTACCAGTCTCCTGGCGGACCGGTACGTACCGCCCAGTACAGGTGGTATTATTCAAAATTAAAATCATTGGTTTATAGTACATGTGATGATGGTGACCTCGAAGAACCACGATTGAAGTTAGCTAATATTCTTGAGGCTGTGTTATTTGCTTATGCTATAGGGAATTTGTAGGAAAATATCATCTTAACTTGGCCTTCAACTTTGGGTATAATTATGATATTACTTTCAGTTTTTCTGCTTCAACTCAGTACAGCTAGTTACAAAGTTGTTAATATGTCTGCCCCCCCTACTCAGTGAAATAGACCTTTAATGCGTTATTTGATGCTTAAGGGCAGAATTCATAGGTTCCATTGCTCAAGGAAATTTGACCTATTCTTTTTCTTGATAAACTTAGGATTCTCTTCTTGAAAAAATTATCAATTATAAATAATTGGAAAATGGTTAATTGTTATGCGCTCTAGTTTTGGGTGGGTGTGCTGGTTGCCTTGAGAAATATAGGACATGGATCTGGATTCTGAAATACAAATTTTATGCAGACCACTGAGAGATGTTTGTTATTGATTAGATTGGATGTTCTGAAGTTAATAACTTAATGTTCCTTACCTTGCAATAACACTACAAGGACAATGGCTTTAAGGAACTTTGTTTTTCCTCAGTTCTACTCTTTTGTTTATCCTATCATATAAAATTCTTATTGTTTTGTGTTGTAATATGAGCCATCCTCTTCATATTTTATATTACAATGACGGGATTGTTAGTACTCTATACCTTGGATACATTCTGCAGGATATATTCAATTCATATAGTTTGCTTATAACTATATTTTATGCAGGATACATTCTGCAGGATATATTTTATATTACTTGTTTTATGCTTATAACTAAGCAGCTAAAATAATTCTATCTAATGCCCTAGGCTTTTTGCTAATGCTAATTTAGTTTTTTATAATTCATTTACATTTACAAGGCACCATGTAAGAGTCATGCATAATAAATGAATGAACTGTTTGTTTTTATTTTTGTTGTCTTCTTTTAGTTAATTAATTCTGTTGATGTTTAAATTGATTGTGGTTGCTTCCATTTTTTTTGGTTTAAATATATAACTTGCATTCGTTTTTGTAAAGAATTAACTTCTCTTTCTTGTGGTAGCTTTTGGGCAGAAGTAGTGGATTTCAAGTAGCTTCAACTCATCGACCGTGCACTAAAGGGCTTTGGATGTGGAGCACACCATTAAAGCGAACTGCTCTTGATGGAACCGAGTACAATCTTTTGCTACTGGACAGTGAAGGAATTGATGCCTATGACCAGACAGTTAGATTTGCTCTTCTTATCTTTTTCTATTGGTTATTTTTTATTCTAGTTTAACTGTACTGAATTCCTATAAGGAATACAAAATAAAACTTGATTATAATGTCTAATTTTGACCTTAATCCACTACAGTTTTTTAAAGGGTCTTTGCTTGCAGATACCTCTTTCTAATTGGTTAATGACATATTTGCTTCTCCAATACATGTACATACATTCTCAGAGAACTTAACTTATTTACCTTAGTTCCCTTTAATAGAAACTGTTAACCATGGTTCATTGGATTAGGTGATTAGATCAGTATTGGCCAAAGCGTATTTCATGCTAGTCACTTTCTCGGTCTTATTGCTAGAAATTGGTCAGAACTGCAGATATTAGCTGGTTGTAGCTGACTTGTTTATTTCAGAAAGAAAAAATAGAAAAGGACATCCTCTCTTCTATATCTCCACCTCCTTTCTTAACATTCTAGCAAGGAAATTTTAAAAGGGGCATATTGGTTATCTTGATGACAATTGATTAAAATAATAAATAGTTTATGAAAGGTAGCTAACCTCAAGGACATATCCATTACTTTCAGGTATCAGTTGAAAATAGAGAGCAAGGCTTGAAATTTCTGTTGGGTACTGACTCTATTTATTGGTCTGACTAACATGATATTGCTATTGATCCATATCGAGATTCAGTATGGTTTGATACAGATTGTTATGGATCAGACCCTGCCCAGTATCTACACTGGCATGTTTCTTTTTTTGTCTTAGTTTTTATTTATTTGTTTTGAAGATCCATAATGGTTCATATATCATCTGAACCTAAGTATAGTTTCTAAAACGTAAACAATGATGCTAATTATGTGCAATATCAATATTTGAACCTGATTATGCAAATCTGATGTAGATCCAATACAAAGGTTGATCCAGATCCAGGGCTTTATGGTTTTGGTAGATGTTGGACTTGGACTTGGTCTAAGAAGCTACCCTTTTTATTTACATCATCTTTTACCTTTTTATAAACTTGTGTTTGTATTTCTAGTGACGTCTCTTTAATTTTTGTGGGATACCAAGTGATGATGTCATATTTGATAGTCTTTTTATGTGGGGTAATAGGATTTGACCTAGGCCTTTCCTGCACAAATGAACAACGTGTCACGAGAAGTCCCTTGTTGAGGGTCTGTGGTCAGAGGGTCTGACCAGAGTCCTCTCACCTCGTAAGGCTTTAAAAGTGGTAGGATCATCGAAAATGTAATGGGAGGGTTTTTCTCTGACAGCCATGTCAATATCTGATCTAAAGTTACTCTAGAGAGGGTTTTTAATTACTTAGAGAGAGGATAAATATGCAGACAAAAAGAAATAGAGCTTCTTTAACTGTGAGGTCCCCTTTTATAGCTTGTCTTGGCTTGGGTTAGTGTTCCGTTGGGCAAAGAGTTGGTGAACTACAATGGGACACCACACTAGGACAGGGCATATTTCCCTTGTGGCAAACTGATGCCAGTAGTGTAAGGCTGATCCATGGGCCAGCCTCAACCATTTTCATTGGATTCTGATGTGCCTAGTATGGTAGCTGTCACCAAGTTTCTCATATTTCAGTTGCTGTTTATCAGATGACTTTTCTTTTTTCTTGATTTTTAATGATATTTTCATTGTCAATTATTAGTTGTTTCATGTTCTTTTCCTATAGACACGGACCTTGTATAAGTAACAAATATATCAATTATTTAATTGTTCTGCTCTCATAATTTGAACATATTTGGCCTATGCTGAACCTGAGATCTGATCCAGACCAATATCTTGTGCCTGATCTAGATCATGATTTGACCTTAATGGATACAGTTAGGTCCAATTGCCTACTTGCCAGGATTGGGTTTAAATTTGTGGTAGCTGATTTTTGACCTGAATGATGCTTGTTATGTAGCATAGAGTTACATCATAAAAAATGAAGGGTAAAAAGATCCTCTTGTAAATTGGCCAGGAATTAACCTAGGTTTTGACTAGTATTACACATATGGATGGATTGTGACAATGAAGGCACAGGCACATATGAATCCAGTTTGTTGTTGGAATATATATGCAAATTGGTATTTTTGAGGGTTAAATATTGTATTTAAGAGCATATGTTTGGAAGAAAAAAAATCCTATACCGGATTCTCTTTGGTGGATGCCATTTGCATTTGGAGTATCTTCTTGGGACTCAGAGAAACAAACTTGTGGCATAATCTTGATTTTATACATGTAGTGTTGGTTTGACTTAAGGCATCAAATGGGAAGACCCTTACCTGTAAAGCTCATATGCATTTCTTTTCAGTTATATGTGCTTCCTCTTCCTTGTTATGTTCGCTAAAAAAATTATTTTTTTATATCTACAACTTGTCATATGAATTATTTTCTTTTTGGCAGGGCTCATACAGTACAAAGATATTCTCTTTAGCTGTTCTGTTGTCAAGCCTGTTCATCTACAACCAGGTAAAAATTGTGTTGCGTTGAGCTGTTACTGATTCTTTGCAATGGAATTGGGAATTAGAAATCTTCTTAAGCTTTACATTTGGGCTTGCATAAACTTGTTGTAGTACCTAATGCCGTCTTATTAATTGTTGACCAAATATATATTTTATAACACCTGTCCTTTTGTTTTTCTTTTGGTTTCTTTAGATGGGTGGTATTGATGAAGCTGCACTTGATCGTCTATCTCTTGTCACTGAAATGACTAAACATATTCGTGTTAGAGCATCTGGTGGAAGATCCACGGTATCTGAGCTTGGACAATTTTCTCCAGTATTTGTGTGGTTATTGAGGGTAATTACATCGGTAGATGGCTTTTTTTGTTGTTTCTGTTACTTAGTTTCACCTGTTCTGCTAATTGATTATAAATAAATATTCTGCAGGACTTCTATTTAGATCTTGTAGAGGATAACAGAAAGATCACCCCTCGTGAGTATCTAGAATTAGCCTTAAGGTCTGTGCAAGGTGGTGGGAGAGATATATCAGCTAAGAATGAGGTTCATTGCAATCTCTGACATGTAATCTAATTATATTGATTCACAACATCTTGTAACATTCATTGATAATAAGCAACTAATCATTTTGATTAATAGATTCGGGAGTCTATTCGCACTTTATTCCCTGATAGGGAATGCTTTACGCTTGTGCGGCCACTGAACAATGAAAACGACCTTCAACGTCTTGATCAAATTCCTGTGAGTATTCCTTCCACTTTTTTTTGGACAATTTCAATCTATTTAAAATTCTGATATTGTCTGTTGTGCAGTTAGATAGATTAAGACCTGAATTTAGATCAGGTTTGGATGCATTGTTGAAGTACATTTTCATGCGAACCAGACCAAAACAAGTAGGTGCAACTGTAATGACAGGCCCCATTCTTGCTGGTATTACACAGTCATTCTTGGATGCCATTAACAGTGGTGCTGTGCCTACAATATCTTCTTCATGGCAGGTCAGTTGTTTTGAATATTTAGTGTTTTCCAAGTTTCTAGTTACAATATCGCTCGTTTAAAAACGATGATTACTAAAAGTCAAGTTTTTCTGGGTACTTTTGAATGTGAAAGACTATATTGACTTGTTTCTTTTTAAGTATTGGGTTCATTGGAACAGCATTAGTGTTGGATTATTCCTTTGCTACAATGGCTATTTCAAAATTTCAATATTTACATATGAAAAAATTTTAATTGATTATACATTTTGTATTTTTAGGTGTCTTTCTTTGTTATATAGTGTGATGACTTTTCCTTGGAAATTTTTTGGCTTTCTTTAGGATCTTTGCTTCTATTGTCCTGCATTGTCACTAGGAAAATCGATATCTCCTCCTAATCTTAGCTGATACAGTACTAGCTGTCTTAGTTGTGAATATTACTATTTGTATCAGCCTATTGATTATTTAATGCAGTCACCTATAATGCAGACATTTAAATGTAGGGAAGGATTAGAGAATCTCGCTTCTAATTATCCTTTTGTCTTAAATGTTATGAGTTGAAAATCCAGCTAATTTGATGACTTATCCGGCTCTTAAGGCATTATGTTCAGGGCTTAACAACTTTAGTGCGTGCAGTCCTTTATCTGCAATCTAGATGATTTGTTGATCTTTGTTAGCTGGCATTTTGGCTTTTGGCAGTATCATTAAATGATCTTAATTTTTCACCCACTTTGGGGCTTTCTAGTGTTATAATATGATTAAATGTTTGATAATATAATGATTACAATGATTCAATTGATATGCTGCTTTGATAAGATGTCCATTAATACTGTCTTTCAGAGTGTTGAAGAAGCAGAGTGTCGGAAAGCTTACGATTCTGCTGCTGAGATTTATATGTCCTCCTTTGATCGCTCAAAACCGCCAGATGAGGTATAGGTCAATATTTTTTTTAGTTGTTGTCACATACCACTTCATTTTAGTTTCAGTTGCACTGATTCATAATTACTTTAGACTGTTCTAAGAGAAACACATCAAGAAGCTGTTGAAAAGGCTCTCAATGCATTCAATTCTGGTGCTATTGGGAGTGGATTAGCGCGTCAGAATTATGAGAAGCTTCTCCAGAATTTCTTTAAAAAGGCCTTTGAGGTGAGCTCTAATTTCACATTTTGGAAATTGTTGGTTCCTAAATAGATTACTGTCACAACTATCACTATTATCATCCTATATTTCATTTTTATTTTCAATGTATTTCTCATCCAGAGTTTTTCTTTTTGCTAGTTCTGCATGTTCCATGACATGTGCCTGCTTGAAATTTCCTCTTTTTTATTTGGCTTGAACTTACGACCGAGTAATATTCAGAAATAGATCAAAATTTTTTCATGAAGTTATGATCTTGTACTAAAATAAACTTGTTACTGGTGCTACTCTCTAGTCTGTGGGAATGGTATGAAGTTCAATTGGATTATTATGTAGCGTCACCATGTGTAGCTCATGAATTGGCAATACATTCAGAGTAAAAGGAAGAAATGCATCAAACAGTCATTCCCAACTGCCATCTCATTTCTTTTCTCCTATTCTTTGTCGTAATGCTTCATGGTCTGAGGAGCTAATGTGAAAATTACAAGTATATGTTGACGTTAATCTATCCCTGCTGATTTAGTCATGATGGATGGGATATCCTGTTAATTGATCGTCACAAGGGAAATTTTGCATCCAACTGCAGCTTACATTTTTAAGCAATCAGAGCATTTAAAGTTTCATTTTATTTGTTGTTTAGTTTAGAGCTTGCAAGGATGACTTCTGCTCATGATAATAATGCCAATCTTGGGAAGCTTTCAAGTGGATGTTTTGCACAAGTAACTTTTGGGCTGTCCGATAACTGTGTAGCCTAGGATATTGCTGATTGTATCTATACTGCTTGCGCAGGACTACAAAAGAACAGCTCTTTTGGAGGCAGATTTGCATTGCTCTAAAGTAATCCAGGGCATGGAGACGAAGTTGCGAGCAGCTTGTCATGCTCCTGATGCAAAACTTGATGATGTGATTCAGGTAAGGCACTGTTTGTCAGAGAACATGTATAGGCTTATGATGCTGAAGCAAGGGACAGCATACCAAAACATGTAGAGTGCATTGCAGCATGGCTTAAATCATTACATGTGTTTTATCATCGGCATAATCACTATTCTTTCCGTTATCATTGCCTGTCATTACTGTGTCAGTGGTTTTGTTGGACATGTAGACCTTTTGCCCCTTTTCTATTCAGTTTTATCTATGCATTTGGGTTTATCTGCTGGTACACAGGTCCTCTTTTTTGCACCAGCTATTAGTCTGGGTTATTGGCTTTGTGGATAATGAATACTTATTGTCATGCTTGTTCAATCTCTTGATGGCTCTCACATTGATAATAGTTGAGGTCATCACTTGTGAAGTTCTATCTATGCATTTGGATATATCTGCTGGAACACAGGTGTTCTCTTTTTTGTACCAGCTATTAGTCTGGGTTATTGGCTCTGTTGGTGGTGAATACTTGTTGTCATGCTTGTTCAATCTCTTGATAACTCTTGCATTGATAATAGTTGAGGTCATCACTTGTGAAGTTTATGCTGGAATCTTTCACTATGTATGGTTGCCGATTCTACTGATCTGGCATCTTTCTTTTGGTATTCATTGTAGTTTTATGTTGGCTTATATGTACTTTTCTTTGAATCTTGTCATTTAGAAGATATGGACATGAGACTCGGTTGCATGTAGTTTATCCATGTCCAAACATGTTTTTTACGTAAATGCAAACCATCAATAAGTCGTGGCTCCATGGAGTTTTTTATTTTCTTTGTTTTTTATTTGCTTAATAACTTGTTTCATTATTTGACTAGAGGCCCATTATTGGTCTTAATTATATCAACAAACTTTTGCAAAACACAAATGCTTCAGATTGTTAGTCCTATTAGTATTAGACATGTCAGCTAATATACCTGGAAGAAGCTTCTTCGAAATGTGTTGGATACTTTCAAGAAATATCTATTTTTTAAGAAATATTAAATGTTTTTAGTATAGAATCTTGAACCTCCAACAGCAAGAATTTTAGCGTGTGAACTCTCTCTCTCTCTCTCTCTTTTGCCTTATTTTAAGTATTTCTATTCTGGTGGTTTTTCAAAAATATATGTTGATGCATCCATATTGTGTCATATTCAGTATCCATGATCATGCTTCAAAGGCTTTAAACATGCTCTGGATTGATGCCTTTCTTATTGCTTAACTTTCCTTTTATCTTTAAACATAATATGAGATGAGAGGCTTGAATGTCACTGCAGCTCTTGGGCAGTTTGCTAGTTGGCTTCGAGTCATCTACTCATGGTCCAGGGAAGTGGAAAAAGTTGGCTGCCATCCTGCAACAAAGGTTTGTCTTTTTCTCTGTTTCTCTTACAGTTAGGTAGGTACCAAAAATCTGATTCCATCAGGCTGCTGAACCAATGTTTTCTTACTTTTAATTGTATGAATATCTTTTGAGGTCCGCATATAATGACCTTGACATGATTTATTATCTTCTGGTTGATCAAAGTTCCAAGATTGTTTCAGATTATCGGTGCTAAAAGAGAAAAAAAAAAACTATTCTGTCATTGAACCTTTTTTCTTTCTGCAGTTTGCAGGGACCAATTTTGGACTTATTCAGAAGGCAATTAAATTGTGTTGAATCAGAAAGGAACTCACTGAAGTCTAGATGCAGCTTAAGTGAGGACAAACTGGATTTGCTTAAGAAGCAACTTGAGGCAAATGAAAAGCACAGATCTGAATATTTAAAACGCTATGAGGAAGCTATCAGTGACAAGGAAAAAATATCCAAAGATTACACTGGTCGGATTGCTGATCTGCAGAGCAAATATAGCAAATTAGAGGAACGCTGCTTGAGTTTGTCAAATGCTTTGGAACTTGCTAGACGTGAATCCTCTGATTGGAAAAATAAATACAATGGGAGCAGCATAGAGCTAAAGGCTGAGGAAGACAAGTTCAAAGCTCAAGTTGCAGCTTTGCAGGCCAGAATAGGTGCTGCTGAAGGAAGGTTAACTGCTGTTCGTGAACAGGCAGCATCTGCTCAGGAAGAGGCATTAGAGTGGAAGCGGAAATATGATGTAGCAGTTGGAGATGCTAAAACTGCTTTGGAGAGGGCAGCAGTTGCACAGGAACGCACAAATAAGAAGGTACAAGCCAGAGAAGATACTTTAAGAGCAGAATTTGCTGAGCAACTAGCAAAGAAGGTAAACTGTCTCTTTGCTTATGTACATATATGTCTTCCAGTAGGTATATGTAACATGTATCCATAAGGTTTTCATCTGTATGTTATGTATTCACAAATACCTTTTTGTTGACTAAACAGGATGAAGAAATCAGAAACTTGACTGCAAAGATCGACCATTCTGAGAAGCAAGCAAATACTTTGGTCCTGAGAACAGAGGTATCACCTAAGAGTACTTTGAAAAATTCTGATAGATGCTAGAACATTGTGATTGTGCTGTGCTAAAGGAAGGTCATTTTTAATTGCAGGCTGCCGAGGCAGAACTGAAAAGCCGTGAATCAGAGTCCTCGGTTTTGAAAGAAGAAATCCGACATTTACTTGAAAATTTAGAGTCTGTTAAAACCATGGCTCAGTCACATGAGAGACAAGTCAAAATTCTAGAACAAGAAAAGAACCATCTTCAGGAGAAATATCTCACTGAATGTAAGAAATTTGATGAAACAGATAAGAGGTGCAAGGATGCTGAAAGGGATGCAAGGAAAGCAACTGAGTTGGCTGATGTAGCTCATGCAGAGGTCGTGGCAGCTCAGAAAGAAAAGAGTGAATTTCAAAGGTTGGCAATGGAAAGATTGGCACTAATTGAAAAAGCTGAGAGACAGGTTGAGAACCTGGAAAGAGACAGGAACAAGCTGATTGATGAAATTGAGGGGCTTCGTCAATCAGAAATTTATGCGATTGACAAGGCTGCGTTACTTGAGTCAAGAGTCCAAGAGCGAGAAAAAGAAATAGAGGAGATGTTGAGTCAGAGCAATGAGCAGAGGTCCAACACAGTCCAGGTTCTTGAGAGTCTTCTGGCAACCGAGCGAGCAGCTCGTGCAGAGGCTAATAACAGGGCGGAGTCCTTATCCTTGCAGCTACAAGTAACTCAAGGCAAACTAGATTCTCTCCAACAGGAGTTGACATCTGTTCGGCTCAATGAAACTGCACTTGATACCAAGTTGAGGAATTCTCGGGGGAAACGCCCGAGAGTGGATGACAACATTGGTACGGAGTCGGTCCATGATATGGACATCGACGAAGAGGTTGCCAAGGGTAGAAAGCGGTCCAAGAGTACCACAAGCCCGTTCAACTATGCTCGGTCCGAAGATGGTGGTTCAATCTTTAGAGGGGAAGAAGATAACAATCCGAGTCAGGGAAATCAAGAATCTGAGACTGAAGATTATAAAAGGTTTACGGTGGTGAAACTCAAACAAGAGCTTACCAAGCATGGATTTGGCGCACAATTGCTGGAGCTGAGGAATCCCAACAAGAAGGATATTCTTGCATTGTATGAGAAGCATGTCATCCATAAGTAGTAGCTGTTTTTAAACACTGGATGTATCTCTAAACGTTCTCTAAACGTACCTAACTTAGGTAGTCTCTCAGGTGGCGTGTGTGGGTCATGAATAGTTAGTTGTGTTGTTCTTTGGTTTCTGTAACGTGCATCTTAAGCTTTTATGATGCATGCATCAATTCTTTTGAGGAAGGTGTGTACATTCAAATCACGTTGCTTCCCTCGTCTTGTGTGCGTGTCTGTATCGTGCCACCATCATTTCTGTGTGTGTTGGTGAGTGTGTGTGCGTGCCTGTTTTCCATTTTACCATGCGTTTGTGGTACGTGTGAGCCATCTGTCCTATTTGGAGTCATGAGATACACATGGATTTGTTGGAAATTAGATGTGGTAAAGTAAGTAAATGATTGTCTACCATCTGCTTCTGACGCCATGAAGGAACTTATGACATCTTCTTTATGGGTCCGCATCCATAAGAGTTGCTCGATAGCACTTGATTTGCTCTTCGTTCTGCTTTCTTGTTTCATATTATTCCTCGATTCATAGTTCTTGCTTCTTGGCTTCTTCTCGATGACGCGGACAGCGACATGTATTGTATTTTATGGCTTATGCAACCCAATAATCAAAAAGTTATATGTTATGGCACGACAGATGGATCCAAGACTTGTTAAATAAGCTTCGCATATTTTAATGACAAATCCACCCACGCAAATCACAAGATTTCAATTGTCATGTAGCTTTTTCCTTTAATGAAATATTCGCCTATTCATTATGGGGGTTCGACATGTGATGTGGTGTGTCACGTTGATCGAAATATTCTTCCAAGTATTTTAGTGTACGTGTCGATCACATCACATATTCTGCCGAAGATAGGAGGACCAAAGGCTCCTAACGAACGTACGTCAGTCGGATCGTAACCAAGTCGAACTGATCGCCTGCCACCGGCATGGATACTGCTGCTTCGCAAAGTTCTGTGATATCTATCTTTGCATAAGCTGGAGAAATCTCATACGGTAATCATCAAATCATGGTTACGAAAGAAGAAGAAGAAGAAGAAGAAGTAGAAGAAGAAGCAAAAGAGAACACCACTGATCCTTGTTGTGAATAAAGCATGCATACGCGCCACCAAAGGTTGGCCACCGTCATTTTTATTCAATGGGTTTCAGCTGAACAACTTTGTCGGATGAATCGAATCTACATAGCCCTGAATTGTTAAGTTCTGTCGTGCTAACTGTGAAGTTTCCACATCATCATCACAGAATGCACGGTTGAATGGATGGATCTACATGGAGTCTTCCATCTCCTAAAATTAATCGAGGACGAATCCTCGTCTACTCCACTCGTGTTCAGGAAAGGAAGGGAGGAGGAGCCCCGGTGGCATGCATGGTGGGAAAGCTTGGAAATAGATGGGGCGAGCTAACTCGGTCTTGGCCACCTTGGGTGTAGGCCATCAGCGACGGCGTGTAATAGCCACCGCCGTTTCCATCCCTCACCGCATTGCCATCGTCGTCCTCGTTGTCCTCCTCTTCCTCATCCTCGTCCGCCACCAGACCCTTGAGTTTGGTCTGAAATGTATCCTTGAGTGCCGAGCCACACTGCCGAGGCTGCGTCTGGAAGAAGATCTTGGACACCACCAACTCTCCGTCCTTCTCTTCTTCGTCGAAGCCCAAGTGGTACTGATGCATTATCCAGTTTGTCTTCTCGGGCTTCCGCTGCTTGCCGTAGTTGGTGTAGAGAACGAGGATCTTCTTGTACCCCTTCAGATCACCACCTGCGAACACCGGCCTCGTCTTCCCGGTCTTATGCCACCGCGTCTCGCTTCCATGCACGTCGGTGTGCACCTTTCGCCTCTTCCTCGTCCCCGTCGTGTATGCTCTGGAAGGGCGATGGAAGAAGTGTCGAACCAGCCCATCGCTTCGCACGCCTGCATATCATCGCAGGAAGAGAAATGCCATGATACGACGATGGACAAAGCTTAGCACAATAATTCATGCATAGAAACTTTCACTATTGAAAATATATGTTATTTAATCGACCAGTAAGGATAAATTCCTTTTTAAATGATAAGTAAGGAAGACGAAATTTGAACTTTCTTACTGTCTTCAAGTGAGTGTGAAGTCACAACTACAAAGTCAAGTCAGTCTTATGTTGCTTAGAGGCTACACTACAAAAAATTCATTATGCTTTAATATAGCCTTTTCTTAATTTTTTAGAATACCAATAAATATTTTATGAAGTTTCAAATTGTTGGGGGAAAATATTATTAGCATTCTTGTCAATCCAATATGGTTCTGATCCGTATGCATAGAGTAGTCCGAGATGGAAAGCACCTCCTTTAGAAATGAAAACACCGTGCTCTTAAGGTGTTACCTGTATAAAGACCGAAGTTGGAAGAGGCTTTCCGAGCTGATCTCTCCGACACTCAAGTTAGTCTTAAGGTCAACTTTTGTAACCTCACATAAGTTAACCTCAGGACTAACTTGAGCATCGATGGGATCGACTCGGGATGTGTCTCTCGACTTCGATCTTTGTATAGATAATACCTCATAAGCACGATGTTTTCATCTCGGAAAAAGGTGCTTTCCATCTTGATGACTCTGTACATATGGATCAAGGCTATATTTTCCCTTAACACAAACTATACTTGCCTTCTCTTAGTCTATACAATTGCAAAGTATACATGAAGACATAAAATTTTCATACCTGTTGCCAATTTTTTGACTTAGTTGGATAACAATAACTAGAATCTGAAAACTGCAGTCAAATAGAAACAAGATCTTTTCTTGCACCTCATGAGAGAGAGAGAGAGAGAGAGAGAGAGAGAGAGAGCAGACCAAGTGACTCTCAGTAGAAAATACGTATATGTGGACTTGACTGACGTTTATTTTGATTCATGACGATGACAAAAATGGACTTGTATTGTTGGCTCTATTGGATAGTCTAATAAAGCCACAAAAATGCATATGTCGACGACCAACATAATTAACAACAGTGGTAAATTGTCAATCGAGACGCAAAGATGAGTATTTCTTTGAGTAGCAAAAATCATGATGTACTACTAATTAAGATTCTTCTTGGACGTAGGAAGTTTCATAGCGTTCCTTCATGTGCAAAACACAAAGCATAAATGACTTGTGTGCTCTGGTCGAGCAACGATGATAATTGTGAGGAGGCAATTTTATGACGCAAAACCTACGTTGATGTTAATGCATGCAACCCTACGTACATGAACACCGTTAGATTATGCTGCGATGCCATGTACGTATGCTATCGGGCGCAAGAATCATGTCATAGATGGATGGTCTCAAGAGATGGAGGAGGGCGATTAAAGAATCGATCCATGATTCAATTACCAGGGAGCTTCTCGGGGTGTGTGTAGCAGATGCCGTCTTCTCCTTCGATCGTAGGGATGAAGTCGTCGATGAGGGGGTGAAGCCTCTGGGGATCTGACCTCGCCTTGCCCTCCAAGTGTTGGAGCAGCTCTTGGTCGGTGGGATCAAACTTGACGCCTGCAGGCAACCCGAGAAAGTCTTGCATGGAGGGAGCAACCTGAATACATCGATTCATAGATTTCATGATCGTGTTAGGTCTTCCCCTACACAACAACTTCTGGCATTTGCCTTCGACATGAGATGAAGAAGGTGACACGTAAACTTTGTTCGTATGATCTAACCATGCACCTGTTTCTTGGTCGAAATTACGGAATAATCTTTAACTTGTAGAGAGAGAGAGAGAGAGAGAGAGAGACCTGGCGTTGATACTGAATGGGATAGCCGCAGGAGGGGCATGTCCGAATCGTGTTCTCGTGTGACTTCTTGCTGATGGAAACCATGGCAGAGAACTCGTGGTGTCCGACGCTAAGCGATGGTTGTCTTGTTCTCCATCACCTCCTCTCCTGTGTTTCTCTTATCCAGATCAATAGGAACGATAACCAGAGGCACCGAGGAAGAGGAAAGAGGAGAGAGAAGAAAAAAGGGGGGGGAAAAAATGGAAAAGGAAAAGAAGAAAGAAGCTTGTCCCTCTTAAAGCTATTGGAGCTCTCGTCCCCCCCCCCGCCCCCCACCTCAGTCTCTCCTTGAGATCGAAGAGAAGGAATAGAATTGTCCTCGACTTTTGTTCATCACCCAAGTGCAGCAAAGGAGAAGAGAAGACGGACCCTCCAATGGTCTCTCTGCTGCTTCCTCCGGACAACAAAGGGGAAAAGGAAAAGACAAAAAAAAACAAGTGTATTTGTAGAGATAGAGGGAGAGATGCCTCAGCAAGCAAGCTTAGGTTGCTTGTCCCTTAAGCTTCACCTTGCTATATATGCTTATCACTCGCATGTTTATCCTCAACAGGATGATAAAGAAAAGAAAATAGAGAATAACAAGGCATACATCTCTCCAACTGCTACTCAATAAGCCTTTGGCTGAACCCCACAGAGAAGATGGCGAGAAAATAGAAGGAAGAAAGTTATAGGACAAAAGGAGCGATTGGGTTGAGTGGCGATGGGGCAACCTGATTCGCATGAGACGTCTCACCTCCCTGACTGGGATAGTTAGACAGAGAGAGGCGGAGGTCGAAGGTGATCATCATCTCCTTTTAGCTCCGAGGTCAACCTAGAGTGCCTTCCAAGCCATATACCGAGCACTTGCCCATTTGCATTATCCACTATCTCTCCCTCTCTCACCATCTTCCTGATCTCCCTCTTCAACCAAAGCACGCATTACGTACTGTGCAGCATAAATGTGATATTTCTACCGACCAAAAACTACATACACATTGCATCATATCTGCAGTACCAACGTGATTCTTCTCTCTCTCTCTCTCTCTCTCTCTTCAATGAAAACACACATTCGCGTTTTCCGCAGTAACGCATTCGAGAGTTAATGCTGTAAATGCATGGGATCGGAAAGCATAAGGTGAGGTGAATCAGAGTCGACGTGATCTCTGCGTAGATGAACATGGGATCGGGCAACAATGAGGGTGCGGTGAATCCTGGAGATTCTGGGGGCGTAAAGGAGGCGTGAAGGATACTATTAATGTCCGAAAGCAGGAGGTGAGGTGGGTCTTCTTGTCGGTGGAGTCTCGTGGTTGCGATTGGTG